ATTCAAATGGTAGAGTCAGAATTTGGCGTAAACAGAATGAGAACATGGATCCATCATGCCTTGTTACCACTGTGCAGGCTGGTGGTGGTGTAATGGTGTGGGGGATGTTTTCTTGGCACACTTTAGGCCCCTTAGTGTAGAGTTTAGATTCTCTGCCCGAGGCCGAGCCCAGACTTGACCCGATCCTAATAATCCTTTAGGTGAGTGTATACATACATATATACTGTATATACACATATATATACATATATATACACATATATATACATGCACACACAGTGGTACCTCAGTTCTCGAACTTATTAGAACTCGAATTTCTTAAAAGTCGAACCAACCAGTTCGGGAAAAAAAATGACCTAAAACTTGATCTGAATCTCAGAAGTCAAACCGTGAACGCTGACCTAAGACAACTTGTACACGCGGGGAAATTAGTCACGCGGCACGTCTCTCAGCGGAAACATAGGGTAACGCTTCAGTATAAGCCTTGCATTCGCTGTTATAGCATTGTGCATGTTTACACTAGCTGAATACATATATTTAGTAAATACAGTGGTACCTTGGTTTACGAGCATAATTCGTTCCGGAAACATGCTTGTAATCCAAAGCACTCGTATATCAAAGCGAATTTTCCCATTAGAAATAATGGAAACTCATATGATCCGTTCCACAACTCAAAAATATTCATATAAAAATTATTCATACAAAATATAAAGTATCCATCCATCCATTCACTAAAAATTAATGGAATCACTATCATCTGTTGGCTGACTGGAATCTATTTCTGTTTGTGTGACTTTAACAAGGAACCCATCCAATGACAGCCTCTTTTGCCTCCTTTTGGATTTCGCAAAAATGTGGACATTGCATTGTCGTTAAACAGATTCATCACTCGCACTGCTACACCCATATTCAGGTGGTGCTTTTCTACTAAACGAGAGAGGCATGCCGACTGAAACCGAGCATGGGAGATGATTACCCACAATTCCGCAGCGTGAGAAAGTGAATAACCATTGGTTCAGTTGTGATGACGTGCGCTCGGCGTCAAAACAAGAAGCGCACGCATGCGCTTCCTGTTTTGAAGCCGAGCGCACGTAAAAACAAGAAAAACAAGGAGCGCATGTGTGCCATATGATTTTTGATGATACTTGGCGCTTGTAAACCAGGACTTGCTCGGTTTCCAAGTCAAAACTTATTAAAAATCTTTGCAAATAGTTTGATAAATGTGCTTAGATGTGTTTAGTACATTATATGCTCTTCTTGTTTTATCCGGTTCGTTTTGTGTTTAAATGCTAAAAAAAAAAAACATATTTAGATGTAATTTTTTGGGGTCGGGAACCAATTAATTGGTTTTCCATTATTCCTTATGGGGAAAATTCCATCACAACTCGAACTTTTTAGGATTCGATCTGGAGTTCTGAACGGATTAATTCGAGTTCTGAGGTACCAATCAGTGTGTGTGTGTGTGTGAGAAGCATATATGTGGGCTCTAATCTGAGGTGCTGTTAATGTGCAGTTTCTGAGGCTGGTAACTCTAATAAACTTATCCTCTGCAGCAGAGGTAACTCTTGGTCTTCCTTTTCTGGGGCGGTCCTCATGAGAACCAGTTTCATCATAGCATCTGATGGTTTTCTCGACTGCACTTGAGGATACATTCAAAGTTCTTTTAATTTTCCTGATTGACTGACCATCATGTCTTAAAGTAAGGATGGATTGTTTTTTCTCTTTACTTAGTTGAGTGGTTCTTGCCATGTGGAGTAGAACAGTAGTTGAACAGGGCTATTCACTGTGTAGAACCATGTACAAACTCTACCTCAAACACATAAAGAAGGCAAGAAATTCTACAAATTAACTCTTGACAAGGCGTACCTGTTCACTGAAAACCATTCCTGGGCAATACCTGATGAATCTTATTTAGAGAATGCCAAGTGTGTGCAAGGCATTCATCAATGCAACTTTGGTGGCTACTTTGAAGAATCTAAAATATAAAACATATCCTGGATTGTTTAACACTTATTTGTTTACAGCATAATTCCATGTGTTTCTTCATTGTTTTGAAGTCTTCAATATTAATCTACTATGAAGAAAACAATAAAAATAAAAAATAAAAAACACTGAATGAGAAGGTGTGTCAGAACTTTTGACTGGTAGTGTATTATAATGGAAAAACAGCACTAATAATTCATTTTAAAGTATTTTCTTACCACCCAAAAGAAAAAGAAATGAGCCATAATTTGCATGGTTATTAACACTGCACACAAACTTTGGTCCCTTCAGATGTTTTACCAGTAGAGGCCCTCCCATACCTGACAGTGCCACCTGCCCTCTGGATCCTCATGCGCTCCTCATAACAGATTGGATTATGCTCCCTGCTAAGTGCCAAAGTGACAATTTTTTTGTTGTCATCCTGCCCTTCCTGATCTTCTCGGCACAGCACAGCCTTTGAAAACCACAATGATAACAATCTTGAATAAAGACAAAAAGCAAAATCTCAAGGGTTTTATTTGTCACATGAAAGATCCACATTCCATCTATAACCTGCAGTGAAATTCAAAGTGGTCAACTCTGCTATAGTAAGAATTAGTGAAAAGCAATAGACAAAAAGTATTATAGACACATAAGTATAATATGTAATAAATAAGGAACAGTAGGGTTATACAGGTCGTTGTCGACTTATGACTGATCAACTTCACGACTGTTCCAAGACCACAAATATGCGGCCACAACTGACAGCACAAGTGTTGCCCAGTGACTGTATGACCGTTTGTGCCCCAACAATCCCCACATGAAAATGATGACAATATAACTTAAAGATAATATAATTTTATTACACAGTATACTACTTTTTGTATATTTGTATATAAAAGAAAGGGTCGACATGACCAAATTAACTTAATACTGGTCAGTCATAACTGATCGACAACGACCTGTACTGGTAATAAAGAGAAAACAAAAGGAAAACCAGATATGTGCAACATGACTCCCATAAACTGCAAGCTGCATGAGTAAGGAGCTTATGTTTAACTACAACTGTCAATTAAGTGTTACTGTAAGTAGTCTGATGGACAGAGCAGAAGCTCCCTCTGAGCCTCTCACTTCACAAGAGATAGCAGAAGTGCTTACCAGACCTCAGCCTGGTAAACAGGTAATTGAGTGGATTGTGTCCCTGTTGATTTTAGCAACTCTGCTCCTGCATTATCTGAGGTATATGTCCTGCAGGGAGGGCAGATAAGCCTTGCTTTTGCGTTCAGCTGAACATACCTCCCTCTGCAGTGCTTTACAGTCCCTGGGCAGAGGAGTAACCAAACAAGGCAGAGTTTCCCATGATATTTGTGTTACTATAATAACCACAAGTCCCAATACTCACCCTGCTATCTCCAAGGTTGGCAACATAGACATCATCATTCACCACTAGCATGCAAGTTGCTGTGGTTCCATCCTTCCAGACTGGCTTCCTATAGGGGTGTCAAAGCAATTAAAGTCACCCCCACTTAATCATAGTTTTATTTCAGGTCTTACTAGCCAGTTTTGTTGAACAAGGATTTAGTTTTATGGCAACTCTGTGGAACTGTTATTATAATTTAAAATCATTGCCAACAGAAACAGCATCAGATTTTGATTACACATGGAAGGCACATAAGAAACCATCAACTCACTGGCTGGAGGCCTTTTTCAGGAAGTCTTCATCTGTTTGTCTAAATGCCTCCACCAAACACTTCCTCACAAGCTTGTCCAGGTTCTGTACCTCACCTGCAAAGTATGTGTTGTTCATTTTTCTAATTCAGCAATTTTGAATAAGTTCACACACATTTTAGTATACAAAAATATGAATTAAGAGCACAAAAGGACTTCTTAAAATTTGTAATAAATATTTAAATAATTATTGTTGAGACAACACATTAAAAAAATAATAAGTGCTAACACTTTTGTTATTACTAATAAAAACTAATCAGCCTTTGTTCCCATCAGCGGTAGGGGGCTCACCTTTAGGAAATTTCAAGGCTAATGCTTGATGAAGATGTTCGGCAGCAAAGCATGACGCACGAGAACCTCCATGCCCATCAAATACTGCGAAATATGCTAGGCGGGAGCTGAAATAATAATAACAATAACTGGTTCCACTGAAAGACAGAGATTTAATTACTGGTTTTCTTCATGTTAGACAAGCTACTCAAGTGTACTTATGCATTATAGGTAATCACCAGAAATATACAACTAATTACAGAGCACTGCATCACAGAAATATCAGAAAGCAGTTTTAGTATAAGCTTATTAACATTCACTATGAAGATTACTATGGGCGCTTTTCCACCGCATCAGGTACCGTACTTTTGATACTTCAATTTGTAGATTTTCAACTGCCATAAAAACTGGTAACGGTGCCAAACAACATCAGAACACAATGCAGGGTATTTTGAACTGAATCTTTAAAAAATGGTATTTTATATTATACGGCTGGACGATGCGCGATATTAATACCAACATTGCATGTTATGCACATGCAATTCTCACATCACTAGTAAGGTAGATTAATATCAGACTTTTTCTTACTTTCAATTCTGTACAGACATTATAGCACAGGCAGTTTTGCTACATTTTTACTCTGTCATAGAAAAAAAAAAACTTGCTAGCTTTGCAGTTTTAATTATTATTCATTTTAAAGATTATATATTATATTATTATATATATTAGATAAAGTTTATTAGATAAAGTTTAACACTCCTTTTGCCTAAGTGCTGCATGTGTTCTCCGAGATTACACTTACACTTAATGATACACAAAATTATTTTCATCCTTGCTGCTTAAATCACTCCAAGACAGGTTTGTGAGAACTTTATTAACTCCTTTTGGCTTTATAAATACCCCAATATTTTTTACAACAAAATCACATCGCTAGGACAGCATACTAAATGTGCTGTCCTATTATATTAAATATTGTTGTTTCTTGTATCTGTTCTTCTGGCCAGATCGCATCCCAAAAGTGCCGAACCAAAAATACGGTAACTGGTGTGGTGGAAAAGTACCCTCTGGCTCTTTGTTAAAGAAAATTCATGAAATGCACAATAATTAATGCAAAAGAGTGGGCATTGGGGAAAATGTTTTTTCTTCTTACATTGTCATTTTGTACAAATGCAGGATGAGAAGAATCATATGTATATACAGTACTATGTAAAAGTCTTTGGCAGTCAAAAAAATGTTAATCGTGTTGGTGTAAAACCAAAGTATAGTCTCATGAAAAAGAAAATACACCCACTTTCAATTCTACCATATCAGGACATAAAAAAATCATCTGGTCCTTAGCAGGTCTTAAAATTAGGTAAATACAACCTCAGATGAACAACATCACATGACATATTACACTGTGTCATTATTTAAAATCTATACCAAAATGCAGAAACAGTATGTGAGAAATTAAGTACGCCCTTACTGCTTCCGTAGAAATTAAGATGAAAAGTAGCAGCAAGGTGTTACTACCCAAATGCACTTAGGTGATCATCGTCAAGTATGACCAACTCCATAAAAGCAGAAATTTTGTTAGTTTGCTGGTTGGGATCAATCAGGTGTGTGTTAACACAATGCCAAGGAAGAAAGACATCAGCAACGATCTTAGAGAAGCAATTGTTGCTGCTAATCAATCTGGGAAGGGGTATAAAGCCATTTCCAATAATTTGAAGTCCATCATTCTACAGTGAGAAATATTATTCACAAGTGTAAAACCAAGAAAGTTGCCAATCTTCCCAGAAGTGGATGTCCCAGCAAATTCATCCCAAGGTCAAACACCTAAGAGCTAACTCAGACTCTACAGGCTTCAGTTTGCATGTTAAATGTTATGACAGTAGAATTAGAACAAGACTGAACAAGTATGGCTTGTTTGGAATGTTGCAAAGAGAATACCTCTTCTCTTTAAAAAAAGAAACATGGTAAAATGACTTAGGCTTACAAAAGTGCATCTGAACAAACCACTGGAACAATGTCCTTGGGTACAGATAAGACAAAAGTGGACATATTTGCCATAATGTACAGCACCATGTCTGGTAAAAAAAAAAACAAACAGCAAATCAGCACAAACACCTCATACAAACTGTCAAGCACAATGGTAGAGAGGTGATGATTTCAGCTTACAGTTGTAGGAGCTTGGCACCTTGAAGTAATTGAGTTGACCATGAGCTCTTCTATATATCAAAGTATTGTAGAGTCAAATGCAAAGCTAAAGCCTGGCCAAAATTGGTTCGTAGAAAAGCACCTATCATCCCATGCACACCAGCAAATCTACAATAGAATGGCTGAAAAAAAGGAATCAAGGTGCTGCAATGGTCCAGACCTCAACCTAATAATAAAAAAAAAAAAGAGTGGGCCAAAATTCCTCCATAACGAAGTGATTAATTAAACTAATTAAATTAATTAATTGAGCTGGTGGTGAAATTAAACAAATACTGAGAATGACTGCAGTGCACTTGATGAGATGTTCAGAAACTGAAGCAGAGTTCTTCTAGGCAGCCCACAATTTACAGCTCTCAGCCCTGCTCTTCAAAACTAAGAAAATCATGGATTTTATCAACTGGTCTCTCAATGCAATTGACACCATCTTCTCGAAGAGAAGCACAGGTTTGGGGGAACCTGACTGTCCTGCAGGAACATACGCAGCTGGCTACACAATGGACGGATGGGAGAAGTGGAGGGTCGTGTGTCTGGCAGCTCTTTCCGTGGAGGACATTGAAGATATCTACCTATTCGGAACCATGATTACAGGTCTTATGCTGATTGGATTAGACATTGCCCTGGTTTATCGAAAATTGAAGAAAACGGTGACAGCCGCTCAAAGCCCCACTAGGCTGGCCGGATGATTGACGGGGTTGGCAGAGCTGTTGGCACTGACTGTGGCTATAGATCGCGGATAACATCACTGTGACTATTAATCGCAGATTGGATAACATCACGGAGAAGCTCACGGCTCTGCAAAGGATTTTGGATGGCGGAGACGAGAGTGGACATTAGAGGAGCTGAGAAATTACAGCTTCTCGCCCGAAAACCCAAACAACCCTATTATATCTTCATACCCCCAGCTTGAACAGGCGGGTCTGTGATCTGGACTACCTCCACCTCCCCATTTCCCTGCCCTGTTGCAAGTCACGACTTTTTATGTTGATAAGGTGTGACTATGTGCCTATGTTGCTGAGGTGTTTTTTTCTGTTCCTACATTGTACTCCCTACTGGAGTAAAGTCTGGAGGCTGTTTTTTTATTCTCCTCCTCTCTCCTCATGTAATTTTGTTTTCTCTGTTCTTCCTATATCCCCCATCTTCCTGACCTGTCTACCCCCTATAATGTGATGTTTGTATATGTATGGTCGGATTGATGGCCAGTTTTTCGCTGGTACTTGTGACTAGTGACATGGTATTGCAACAGCAATAAAGGGTTTTTTCATAATTTTGTGGAAAATCCCACTAAAAGTCTCACACAATTGCGTGCACAACGTGAGCAAAATGAAAAACGCAATAGATGATTTGGGAATTGGTAGCTTGGGCTGTTTTGCGCACTCGCTACAGCTTGTACATGAGGGGTTGCTATCACAACGAAGTGTAAGTGGAAGGGGTATTTTAAACACTCACCACCTGCGTATATTCTCTTGGAAGATATTCAAATTCAACTGCAAATGTCTCAAAAACACTTCAAACAAGATGTACAGACAAGGTGGAACAGTACATTATGTATGTTTCTAGTAGTCTAGTAAAGATTTTTTTGGCATACATTTTTCATTTGTATTTAATTATATACTAAGTATAAATATATTTCCCATTTAATATATATTACTGTATATACAAATTTATTATTAAAATATTAAAGTAATAATCTGTATCGGTTTTGGCAGTTGTGTATCGGAATCTATCAGAACTGAAAAAATGTGGAATGGTCCATCCCTAGTTCATATTTCACTTTTCTGTGTGCACTTTCAACCCACAGATGGTCGTGTACACCGAAGCTTGTGACTAGGGCTGCAACTAATGACTTTTTTGATAGTGGACTAGTCATGGACTATTAAAACGATTAGTCGACTAATCGGATTATAAATTGCATTATTATAAAATGGCTCCTATTTAGCTACCAGCTTTTACATTTAGAATGAGGTTATTGTTCGACTTGAATGACGCAAAAGAACACATGTAAAATGGGAAAGAGCTGTCGTGCGATCGATTGTGCAAATAGATTTAATACGAAATAGGAGCTTTTTAGAGACTGCCAAAAACTAAATAAGTATAGGATGTGGATTGGTCACACATGACCGATACCCGATCCGTCAAATAGGTCTGGATCGGCGCCTATACGGATCCGAATTTCTGATACAATCTTTGTTATAATCAGGGCTGCACATAACTGGTAGGCAAGTACGCATTCACCTTTAAAAGCAATACGTGCGGCAATCCATTGCTGACAGTGCAAATGCGTACGTATTTTATGTGCATTTGCGCTGATATGACAAGAAATTATCATGCGCATTTTAACCTGTATATGCTAATTCGTACTTCATTTGCGGTATAGAGGTTAAAATGCACGGTAATTTCTTGTCATATCAGCTATTTATATAGCCTATGTTTATAAATAAAAATTTTTAAAGCAGACTGAAAAATCCCAAGATCCCGACCCAAAATACGGGAAATTTAGAGCAGCTTCCCATTGCCATTCCTCTGTTAACAGCAAGAAAACGGACTTCAAAACTGCTGTTATTTATTTATTTTTAACGGAGCATAAGCTCTCGCAGCACTTGTGACATCGGAGCCACTGTCCTGAATCTTGAGCTTCGGAGTTTTGGCTTCTTTATCTGTTTAAGCAATGGGTTTTCTCCACTGTTTTCTGAGCTTTTTTAGCTACTATTAGCAAACGAGACATTTAATGACACACCACTGACTTCCAAACATAAATACGTTCTATTCCGATCTTTTTTGAAAATGTAAAATATACTACTACTAGCCTATTATTATGCCCTATTATAATGATTGTTGTTGTTATTATTATTATTGGATACGCCAGTGGCCTGTACTACGAAGCGGGTTTACTGGCTTATCGGGGTAACTTTGCGAGTAACTTGATGACGTGTGGTGTAACTTCGCGATTAACCCCTACTACGAAAGGTGGGTAGGTTTTAGTCGAGGCATGCTACCATGGCAATTTATGCTAAGTCTCAAAACTGCTCCGAGCAGTTTTTGTTCTTGGTTAAGTCGAGGTTTCTGCATAAGCCGGCCCTATATGAGCACCGCCCCTCCAACTACAATTTCTCCGAAGACAATGACTGCATACCTGGATTATCCGTACAACTTTGGCGCACGAATCGTGAGGGGCTCTCTCTGTTAATATGTATGAAATGGAGCAATGGCATATACCGGTAATATGCATACAATGTATTAATAACTGTTACAGAGAAAGTTATTCTGAAAACCCAAGGGGTGTGCATTGTTCCCTGTTGTCCACTGATCAAAGCACACTTCACTAGATGTGGCTGTCTTGTCTAGTTTTAAAGTTATTAACCCATTCATGAATTGCCCCATTGCACAGTATACAGATACATTCGAACATTCAAAAATTAATTAAAATTCGCATGTAAAGCAATCTGGGAAACAAAGAGGTGTGCAACAGTCACCATGAGCCCAAAATACTAAACCACCATGTCATTACAGCTGAAAGGACCTATTATATTAGCTATTAACATGATTTGGCACAAATCACGAAATGTTTTGAAGCGGAAAAAAAATCGGTGTGCATCGATGTCTGTGTACTGGACATCACAATTCTGTCATTAAAAATGCCCCACCTTACTTGCGTAAAGTTATTAAAGCCAGAAAACTGAATATGGAATATGAGGCTAACTTAACCGCATTGACAGGTTCCTAGTCGTTTTTTCACTACACATATGCTTCTGTTTTGTCCTGTTGTAAATCATTTATTTGTTTGTTAAACAATGGCTCACCTTCTAT